CATTCGGCGAGGGGCCCCGCATGAATTATAGATTAATTACTTACTGGGAGGAGAAGGAGGGGAAGGCGAGGCGGAGAGGCAGGGGGAGGGAGGCGCAAGGCCCGCGCGGCTGCAGGGGCGGCCCGGCAGGGGCGGGGAGAGGAGAGGGGAGGGGCGGGGCGGACGGGGGCGTTGGCAGTCAGGTCGGAGGTGGTAGTGGTCGTGGTCGTGGCGCTGTCGTGCAGTCGTGGTCGTGGTGCTTGCTGGCGGTGGTCGCGGTGGTCGTCGTGCTGGCGCTGGTCGTGGTCGTGGCGCTGGTGGTCGTGGCGGTTGCCGTCCTTAGGGTCGTCTTCGTGGTGCTGGTAGTAGCGGTTGCGCTGGTGGTGGTTGTGGTCGCGGCCTTACTGGCCGATGGCGCTGAGCACCATCTCGGCATTGCCACGCTGGAGGTGGCGGGACAGCATCATCAACATCATCAACACCATCATCATCAACATCATCATCATCATCATCATAATTATCATCAGTTTCATCAGCATCATAAACAGAATCATCAGCATCATCATCAGCAGCATCATCATTGTCGTCATTGCCGTCATCGACATCGTCATCGACATCGTCTTTGCCATCATCATCATCATCATCATCATCATCACCATCATCATCATCATCATCATCATCATCATCATCATCATCATCATCGTCATCATCATCATCATCATCATCATCCTCATCCTCATCCTCATCCTCATCATCATCATCATCATCATCATCATCATCATCAGTATCAGCATCATGATCGTCGGCATCAACCTCATCATCAGCAGCAGCATCACCACCAGCATCACCATCATCGTCATCATCAATATCAGCATGCTTATGAACATGATCAGTATCATCAGCATCCTCGTCATAATCATCATCATCAGCAACAACCGCATAATCCACATCATCGTCAGCATCACCATCACCATCAACAGAATCAATCAATCAATCAAGTCAATGCATCAATCATTAAATGATCACCGTCAGAATCAATCAATCAAGCAAGCAAGCAAGCAGTCAACCAATCAATCAATATCAGCATCGTCATCATCATGATACTTCATTGTCATCATCGTAATCATCAACAGCATCACCATCATCGTCAGCATCGTCGTCATAATCAGCATGGTAAGCATACCCATAACATCCTCAGAATGACCCCCAAGCCTGGAGACACCAGGTGTCACACGTGACGGCCTCCAGTGCCCCCTCGAACAGTCGCCACCCGAAATGATGGGCTGGCACGCTGGCGGGACTTGCCACGGGCAGCTGTCCTCCACACGAACTGCTGAAAATCTCCAGCTCGAACATCATGAAATCTAGGGAAGCCTCCGTCCATGAATCGAGTGGACACATCAAAGATTAACATGCCAATGTTGTTTGTTTTTATATATGTGTATATATATATATACAAAAAAACGGGAATCAGATTGCGCAAAAAAAAACCTGCCGTCTATCTATGGGTCTGTTCGATGGCTCAGTGTGAGCCACAAAACTGATGACGCTCCAATCCGAGACTGTGAAAACATCGCGCCCCCATCCGTGTACCGCTTGAGGGGCAACGATACAGTCGGGCTGCTGGAATAAAGGACGCTAAAGAGGGAGCGAAGCCCAGTTTTGGCGCCAACAGCGCCTGGGTGCACGAGGAGGGCTAGATGAACAGCCGTGGAAGGACCTAAGGAACATCGAGCCCCTTGCGAACCCATACTGTTCCTTATTTCAGCGTCTTGACGGTAGGGGGGGGGGGGGGCCAGCCCCGAGGGAGGACCACTGACCCTGGAATCGGCGATACATCGCCCACCGCCGACAGATCGGCATTTGTTTTTCCTTTGCCAGCGCCGATGCCACACCGATCTCCCTTGAGCACTGAATAAGTCTAATTCAGTGCCGAGTTTGAGAAAAAAGTAAAAAGTACAAGACGAGCACAGCCAAGTAGAGCATGGGCGTGCGCCAACAAAGTGCGGCTCTTTCCTTCCTCCCAGCGGGGAGCAGAGGAGAGAAGGCCAGGCCGAACACGCTGAAGGCGGATGCTGCGGATTACCCTACAGCCTCAACGCCGCCGACAGATCGGCAAGAAGACCGGATAGCAAATCCACAGATTCCTGGGCGGCGACGGCCATCAGACCCCCATCGGCGAGGCATGGGCGATCGGGGAGCGAGGCTTCCTCCCCGGAGCCCGCCGCGCCCTCGCGTGGCCCCTGACCGCCGTCTCCTGCCACGCCGCTGGCTTCTGACACATGAGCCGCTCAATGCCTCCTCCTCCTCCTCCTCCTCCTCCTCCTCCTCCTCCTCCTCCAATCCAGACCCGGGTCAGTCAGGCCCTGCAAGATGCGACAAGATCCAGCAAGATCCTGCAGCATCCTGCACCCAAACCAGGGTCGGTGCCCCCTGGCCCTGATGGATCCTGCAAGATCCGGCGCTCTAGCTGACCCCCGTCTGCATTTCCCAGACCCCCCACGTCATGATTTTGTTCATGACGTCGACCCCCAGAGGTCTCTACCCATTCCCTGGGACCGGTTTTTCATCCCGAGCGGTTTCTTGACGGTCCCGAGGCCGGCGAGGGCCCCCAGAGGCCGAAAGTAGGGAAAAACCTCGCGTCTGGATTTTGCTCATGACGCAACGGGGTCTGGGCCTCCTGAGCACCCGAAGCATCGCCTGGCTCGCGCCCCCGGTGGTCCGCGCCGCCCGCGCCTGGCGCCGCCCGCTCTGCCAGCGCAGCGCCAGGCTGCCGGCCGGCGCAGCATCGATCTCCGAAGAACACGGCCGTCCCTTGCGGGTCGCCTCCTCGCTCGGCGTCCACTGCCAGTTGGTGGCGCGCACGAGGGGTCGATACCTCTACACCGCTCTTGGCCAGGCCCATCCTGGGCAAGGGCGTCTGGTAGATCTGGGCCTGGACTACTGCTTAAGAAAACGCTTCGAGTGACGTCCCTTTCTCTTAGCTCGGAGCGCTCTTGACTCTAAGCAGGCTGGCGGCGCGCGCAAAAACGGGGCGGGGGGAGGAGGGAAGGCGTCTTGGAGTCAGGCTGCTTCCTAATAAAGGCGCCAGACCTACATCTACAGAGAAGGCCCGCGCCTTCTGAGAAGCGGGGGTGCCCCTAGGGAGCCTACCCCCCTTTCCCCGTATCCCCCTCTGCGCGTGGCCGAGCCAGGCTGCCACCGCGCAAGGCTGGCCGCGCCGGCCGCTCCTGACGACGGCCTCTCGTCTTAAGTCGGGCGAAAAATAAAAAATACTCAAAAAATACCCTGCACATGGGCAAAAATAGTCAAAAAATCGTCCCCATAATAATTTTCGACTAGTTTCGAATATTCCTCCTGTAGGGGGACAGGCCCGACTTAATCCTCGTGCAGAGCCTGCCCTCCCGCCTGCTCCCTCCTCCGCGGCCACCCTCTGGCCCCTCCTCCCCTCTCGTAGCCGGACAGCCCCAGGGATCCAGCGCATCGAGAAAATCCAGACGTCGGTGTTTCGTACTTCTCGGTCTCGATGGGGCCCTCGCCGGGCCCCGGGGGCCGTCAGGAGACGGCTCGGGATGAAGAGCCTGTCCTGGGGGAGGGGTCGAGTTTTCCGGGGACCCCGCGCGCGTGCGGGTCGGTCGCCCCTGCCGCGCCGCGGCGCAAGAGAAGGCGGGGCGCCCCCCCCCCACGCCGGGGCCTCCTCGATGCACGCCATCCCCGAGGCGGTGGCGGGCGTGTGATGAGCGGACCAGGCGAGCTCAGAGTCGAATCGACGGGTCGGATCGGCGATGGAAAGGAATCGGGTCGGCGGGAGTGGGCGGCCACGTCGCGGGAAGTCGCATCGGCAGAAGTCGGCAGGCCGGTAGGCCTCCATTGAGGAATCGGAGCCCAAATCGGAATCCGAAGTCGAGTCGGATCGGAATCGGCATCCACCGAAATCGAATCGAATCGGCGGAATCGAAATGAGCCCGGGCGGGCCAGCGGCGCCACATCGCACGCCATCTTCCCAACACCAGCCGTCCGGCCTTTCCGACGCATCGCACGCCATCGATCCACCATTTGTCTCCTGCGTGCGCGTTGTCTTGCCGCACCGTTTCACGCCCTCCGGCTCCGCTTGCGGAGCGCACGGCCTCCTCCTCCTCCTCCTCTTCCTCCTCCTCCTCCTCCTCCTCCTCCTCCTCCGCCTCCTCCTCCTCCTCACCCAAGACCAGAGGGCGAGGCGCGCAGCGCGAGGGCGGAGGCGGCCCCTCGACCGGACTGGACTGGACGTGACTCGACCGTCAGCCCTGAGCTGAGAGCCACGGCCGTCGCCTCGTGGGAGGCCCGCGGCGGCCGGCCGAGGGACCTGGGGCAGCGCAGGCACGGGCGGGGCACCTGCGAGAAGGTCTCGGGAGGTGGCCGGGCATCGAGGATCCCCCGCCTCCCGCGCGCGGCGGAGAGGAGGGGAGCAGGGAGGAGGAGCAGGGGAGAGCAGGAGGGGAGGAAGGGGGAGGAGAGGGGAGGAGACAGGAGAGGAGAGGAGAGGAGAGGAGAGGAGAGGAGAGGAGAGGAGAGGAGAGGAGAGGAGAGGAGAGGAGAGGAGAGGAGAGGAGAGGAGAGGAGAGGAGAGGAGAGGAGAGGAGAGGAGAGGAGGAGAAGTGAGGCACCCGTGTGGCTGCTCGAGGTTGAAGCTGCAGCATCATGAACTGTGGGGGGGGAGAGAGCTCCAGGGAAGCACGCAGGCCGCCCCATCATCACATCCTCGTCTGTCTCCCCCAGCGTCATCGTAGTGCAAATGCTGCAGGTCGTGTCGAAGAATCGTCTGGGGGACTTCGCTCAGAGTAGTTTTTCGTCCCGGGTCCAATTCTCATGGTCCCAGGGCCCGAAACGGCCCGCGAAGGCCAAAAACTACGAAAAAACGGAGGCGACAAAAACAAGCAAATCGACAAAAAAGTTGCATTAATTCTCCAGGGCGGTACCGTCTTCATCCTCCACCGTCATCCTCCTGCTACTGCCGCTGCTCGGTTCTCCTGGGAGCGAGGCGCCTCGTCCTCGTCTGCAGGATCGCCCAGCCCGTCGGCCATGTCGCTCCGCCCCCCGCCCTCGCCCTTCTTGAACTCGACCTGGATGTGAGCGGTTCCTCCTCCTCCTCCTCATCCCTCCTCCTCCTCCTCCTCCTCCTCCTCCTCCTCCTCCTCCTCGTCTTCTTCCTCCTCCTCGTCTTTCCTCCTCCCCCTCCTCCTCCTCCCGCCTCCTCTTCCTCCCTCCTCATCATCATCCTCATTCTCCTCCTCCTGCTCCTCCTCCTCTCACATTCTCCTCCTCCTCACCCTCTCTCCGTCCTCCTCCTCCTCCTCCCTTCTCTCCTCCTAATCCTCCTCCCGCTCTCCTCCTCTTCCTCCTCCTCCTCCCCCTCCTCCCCCTCCCCCTCCTCTCCGTCTCCTCCTCTCCGTCCTCTCCTCCTCCTCCTCCTCCTCCTCCTCCTCCTCCCATCCTCCAAATCCTCCTCCCTCCTCCTCATCCTCCTCTGAGCCTATCCACCCTTCTCGTCGCCTTTGACAAGATCTCGCGACCCCCTACCCGGGGAGCAGGAGGGGGGAGGACGAGAAGGAGGACGAGAAGACGGAGAAAGAGGAGCGACCCCCTACCCGGGCCCTCTCGCGCGCACGGGGGGCCCGAGAACACGGTCCTCCGCTGACACGCGGAATCGTCGTCGTCGTCGTCGTCGTCGTCGTCGTCGTCGTCGTCGTCGTCGTCGTCGTCGTGGTCGTCGTGGTCGTCGTCTTTGTCGTCGTCGTCGTCGTCGTCTGGCTCCTTCGTGCCCCGCGCCTCGCAAGGCACCTCACACGGTCATCTCCGCCGACCTGGAAGAAATCTCCCCTCCGGCCCCGACCGCAAAGCGCAGGGACCGATGGTGCTTGCCCAGGAGGTCAAGCCTTCTCCTCGTCGTCCTACTGTTATTGATCTCATCATCCTCAACATCGGCACCGCCATCATCATCATCATCATCATCATCAGCAGCAGCAGCAGCAGCAGCAGCAGCATAATGAGCATCACCAGCATCATCATGATCATCATCATCATCAGCATCATCAGCATCATCACCACCATCATCCTCATCATCATCATCATCATCATCAACATCATCAGCATCATCACCATCATAAGAATCAACATCATCAGCAGCAGCAGCCTCAGCAGCTTCAGCAGCTTCAGCATCAGCATCATCACCATCACCAGCAACAGCCATCATTGTCACCATCATGATCAGCAGCAGCATCATAATCAGCATCAGCAGCAGCAGCAGCAGCTGCAGCATCAGCATCACCATCATCATCATCATCAGCAGCAGCATCACCATCGTCATCGCCATCGTCATTGTCATCGCGGTCAGCATCAGCATCATCATCACCACCACCGTCATCATCAGCATCATCAGCAGCAGCATCAGCATCATCAGCATTATCGTCATCGTCATCGTCATTGTCTTCATTATTATAATCAGCGTCCTCATCATCGTCGTCGTCACCCTCATCATCATCAGCAGCAGCAGCTGCAGCAGCAGCATCCTCATCATCATCATCATCATCATCATCATCATCATCAGCGTCATCATCCTCATCATCGTCAGCGTCATCAGCATCGTCATCAGCAGCAGCAGCACCATCAATCCAAGCACCATCACACCATCAGCATCATCGGTCTCGTCAGCATCAACAGCCGTATCATCATCAGCAGCAGCGTCATCAGCATCGTCATCGTCATCATCTCCACCACCACCATCATAATCATCAGCAAGATAATCGTCGTCACCGTCCTCATCAGCATCATTTCCTTCTTCATTACGGTGGGGGGCGTTGGATAGGGAAACCTTCGATGAAGAATCCAGGGTCTGGAAGCCAGTGGAGCTCCCATCGTGGATCGGCCATGGATATCAGCGCCGCCCTCATCAGATAAGGAACCCTCCATGGTCTGAGACCTCCTGGGCACATTCCTTAACAAACGCCCCCGCCGTATCATCACCGTCGTCACCCACATCAGCACCATCATCATCATCATCATCATCATCATCATCATCATCATCATCATCATCATCATCATCATCATCAGCATCAGCATCAGCATCAGCATCATCATCATCCTCATCAGCATCAGCATCAGCAACATCATCATCCTCGTTATAATCACCAGCATGATCATCACCATCAGCAGCAGCGTCCTCATCATCACCTGCCTCAGGATCATCCTCATCATGGTCAGCGTCATCGTCATCGTCATCAGCAGCAGTACCATCAATCCAAGCACCATCACACCATCAGCATCATCGACATCGTCATCATCAGCAGCCGTATCGTCATCAGCAGCAGAAGCAGCACTATCATCATCATCATCATCATCATCATCATCATCATCAGCAGCAGCATCAGCATCATCATATCCAACACCACCACCACTCCCATCATCATCATCATCATCATCATCAGCAGCAGCAGCAGCAGCAACAACAACATCGTCGCCGTCCTAGTCATTATCATCATCAGCATCATCATCAGCACCATCATCATCATCATCATCATCACCATCATCATCACCGTCATCATATCCACCACCACCATTCATATCATCATCAGCAACATCATCGTCGCCGTCCTTGTCATCATCATCATCATCAGCAGCAGCAGCATCAGCATCATCATCATCAGAAGCAGCATCAGCATCAGCAGAATCATCATCATCATCATCATCATCATCATCAGCAGCAGCAGCATCGTCATCATTATAACCATCATACTCATCATCATCAGGAGCATGACCTCCTCCTCCTTGTCCTCCTCCTCCTCCTCCGCCTCCTCCTCCTCCTCCTCCCCTCCTCCCCCCCCCTTCTCATCCCTCCTCCCTCCCTCTTCCTCCCTTCTCCCCCTGCCCTGCCCGAAGACGCGCCTTCAAGCGCTTGCCGAGGACCTTGTAGCCCTGCATCTTCTTGATCGCCGTCGCGGCGCTGACGCGGTCCTGGGCCGGGACGCGGGGCGCGCGCGCGCTGGTCTTCATAGCCGTCGTCGGCGTCCTCGTCGTAGTCGCCGCCCTCCTTGTCGTCGCGGGGGGGGGAAGAGGGAGAGAAGGGGAAGGGCGGGAAGGCGGATGAGGGGGGGATCACCGGGCGCGCTATGGGCTTAAAGGGTGTCCGAACCCAGCTTTTCAGGAGGAGGCGGCCATCGGCGAAGCGCTGGAGACGGTGATGCAGCTTGCGGAAGTCCGTGCTGCAAGAGGAGGAGGAGGAGGAGGAGGAGGAGGAGGAGGAGGAGGGGGAGGAATAGGAGGGGGAGGACCAGTGCAAACCCAAGACCCATTCACGATGTTGGAATAAGCCCTCCCCAAAATCTTCCTTATCAGATGCCCGCACAAAGATTCGTTACCACTGAAGGATGTAACCGTTGGGAGACAACCGTTTGAAGATCCTGAAGAGTGCCACAAAAGCGAATTGTGCCAGAACGCCACCCCTGCTTCGAAGGAGGGGTCCTGGCGGATATTGAAAGATTTGGCGGAAGTTCCGGGCCGATTTCGGTAGGCCGCCGGGTTCCCGGGTTCCCGGTTCCGGGTTCCCGGGATTCCGAGCGCCTGTTCCGGGCCGATTTCGGTAGGCACCGGGGTTCCCGGGTTCGCGGGTTCCTGGTTGATCTCCTTACCGATCGGTCTCACCATCGATCTCATTACCCACCTCCCGATCGATCTCACAATCGATCTCACAATCGATCTCAAGATCGACTTCACAATCGTTCCAACTATAGATCGCACGATCGATCTCACAATCGATCTCACTGAACCGACTTCACGATCGGTCTCACGATAGACCTTACTCTCGTCCTCACTACATCAGCGATACGAAAATTTTGACCCGCTTCGTGCTTCCACCTAGATTCGCCTTAGGCGGGAGCGCCATTACGAGTTCGAGCTGAAGAAGTGCCGACTTCTATTCTCGAGGAAATCCTGGGAAGGAGCGCCATTTCGAAATCGAACCTGGACGGTTCCGAATTCATTTCGGGGGAAGTCCTGGACGGGAGCGCAATTGCGAAATCGGCACAAGAAGGTTTCGAATTTCAGTTTGGAAGAAGTCTTAGGCGGGAGCACCATTTCGAGATCGAACCCAAAGTTTCGAAATAGTTCGGGATTGTTGTTTAGGAAGTCTCAAGCGAAACTGTCATTTCGAAATGGCTACACCGTTCGGCATTGAAAATTTTTAATTTCTGACCGAGGATTTCGAAAGTGTAGATCTCGCTAAAAACCTCCTCTAAAAAAACAAATTCGAGCGGTTTCGAAACTTTCCGGTTCGATTTCGAAATGGCGCTCCCGCCCACGACTTCCTTCAAAAAGCGATCTTGACTGGATTTCGAAACCATCGGGCTCGAGTGCGAAAGGGCGGTTCCGCCCGAGACTTGAGCATAACAATGCTTGAACCGAACATTGTACTGGGGCCCCGCAGCCCAACGGGCCCATTTGACGTCTCCTCTCTTGTCGCGGGCGTAACGCCACTGACGGCGTTGCACCGGGGCCTCGTCGCCTTACGGGAGGCGCTGCATTTCGGCCGACATTCCGTAGCGGCAAAGTATCGATCCCACGATCGATCTCACGATCGATCTCACAACCGATCTCCATATCCATAACACTAAGTTGAAAATCATCCACTGATTGGGTTTTTTCTCTGGTGTACTTTTATAGTCGCCGAATCCCCGGTTCCTGGCTCCCGGCTCCCAGCTCCCAGTTCCCGGTTCCACAATGGCGGTTCCCGGTTCCTTGTTCCCGGTTCTGGGCTCCCAGTGCCCACCGCCCGGTTCCCCGTTCCAGTTTCCCGCTCACGGTAGCCAAATCCAGGCTCCCGGCTCCCGGCTCCCCGTTCTCGGTTCCCGGTTCTCGGTTCTCGGTTCTCGGTTTCCGGTTGACGGTTCTCGGTTCCCGACTCCCGGTTCCCGGGTCACCGTTCCCGGTTCCCGGCTCCCGGCTCCCGGGACTCCTGGGCTCCCGGCTCCCGGTTCCCGGCTCCTGGCTCCCAGTTTCCGGTTTCGGGCTCCTGGTTCCCAGTAAGCAGTTCCCGGTTTCGAGTTCTCGATTTCTGGTTTCTCTCCCTCTCTCTTTCTCTTTCTCTTTCTCTTTCTCTCTTTTTCTCTTTCTCTCTCTCTCTCTCTCTCTCTTTCTCTCTCTCTTTCTCTCTCTCTTTCTCTCATTATCTGTCTCCTCTCTGTCCCTCTCTCCATCCATACTTGTTGTTTTTGTTTCTCTCTCTCTTTCCCCCTCTCTCTCTCACTTTCTCTTTCTCTTTTTTTCTCTCTCTCTCTCTCTCTCTCTCTCTCTCTCTCGCTCTCTCTCACTCACTCACTCACTTTCTCTCTCTGTGTATTCCTATATATGTATGCGTGTGCATCTATATCTATATATTATAGAGATGCATATACATATAAATATGCATGTTCATACACATATGCATCGACGCATACACATACATATACGTATGCATATGCGTATACGTAAACATGTGCATGTACATGTACATATAGATATGCCTATACAAATACATGTATATATATACACATGCATACATACATACATACATACATACATACATACATACATACATACATACACACACATACATATACACATATGCATGCGCATCGAAAGTTACATACATATGTACATAAAGCACGTACACACTCACAAATATAATTGCATATAGATACACCTAAACATATCTATGTATGTACAACTGAGATAGGGGAGAAACAAGTTATCCCAGTGCGACTCTATCTAGGAGTTGGAGCATGTTGGAAAGCAACATCTACATCTACATCGACAGCTACATTTACATCTACACCTGCATCTACATCTACATCAACATCAACAGCGAGACTCACATATGCATCTACACCTACATCTACACCTACATCTACGCTAAGCTTAACTTAGCTAAGCTAAGCTAATCAAAGCTAGGCTAGGCAAAAGCTAAGCTAAGCTAAGCTAAGATGAGATAAGCTAAGCTAAGATGAGATAAGCTAAGCTAAGCTAAGCCAAGCTAAGCTTGGCTAAGCTAAGCTGGGTGAACCCAGGGAGCGCAACTGGGGGAACCGCGGGGCGTATCCTGGGGGAACCGCCCAAGGCGGGTTCCACTGCCCGGCCCTTTACGCATACCGAGTAAGAACCCTTCTAGGCAGAGCCTAGGTAGGAAAAAAAAAAAAAAAAAAAAAACTGCGGATGATATTCAAATTAGTGTTATGGATATGGAAATTGGTTGTGAGATCGATAGTGAGATCGATAATGGAATCGATAGTGAGGACTATAGTAAGGTCGATCGTGAGACCGATAGTGAAGTCGGTTCAGTGAGACCGATAGCGAGATCGTGAGATCGCTCGTGCGATCTAGAGTGAGAGCGATTGTGAGGTCGATATTGAGATCGATTGTGAGATCGATTGTGAGATCGATAGGGAGGTGGGTAATGAGGTCGATGGTGAGACCGATCGATAAGGAGATCAACCAAGAACCCAGAAACCTACGAACCCCGCCGCCCACCGAAATCGGCCCGGAACAAACACCCGGGAACCCGGGAACACGGAGCCGGGAACCCGGGAACCCGGCAGCCTACCGAAAGCGGCCCAGATCTTTCACCAAATCTTCAATATCCACCAGGACCCCTTCAGTGCAAGCACTGTTTGGGGAACATATACGTATACACATATACATATGCATACACACATATACGTACACATACACATTTGCGTCTATACACATGTACGTGTACATATACGCATACATATACATATACATGTGTGTATACGTAAAGATGTACATTATGTATATATATACGCATACGTATACATGCACACCTACATATATATATGAGTAGACATTACAGAATACATGTACATGAACATATGATTATGTCGACATGAACATATACATGTGCACGCATATAAACATGTCAATAAATACAAACATACATATATATATATATATATACATGCGCATACAAATACATATGTGTGCACACATACACAGATGCATGCATGCACGCGCATGAATGCATAAGTACAGTCATTCATACATACATGCATACGCATACATGCATACATACATACCTACACACATGCAAATATGTATGCATATATGTTTGCATACATATGTGTATGTATGTGTCGATGTGTATGCATATATATATATATAATCAGCCACCGTGCCGCGAGGCGGGAAGTGGAGTTTTCTCCAGGTCATCATGTGTCCTCTGGTCTCTGTACCCTGGAATATGGGATACTTTTCTTTTATTCTAGGGGCTGTGGCCCAAAATTCTCAAATGTCTTGGTCGTTCCCGCACCTTCTCGGGCTGCCCCACGTGACTTCTCCAGAGGCCAAAGGGCCCCACGACGGGCCAAGAGGGCCCTAGAAAGCGCCCAGGAGGGTCCAAGAGGCCTCCAAGACAGCCCAAGAGCGCTCCAAGACGCTCAAGATGGCTCCAAGGCGGCCCAAGAGGCCCCGATGACTACGACGACGACAACGACGACGACGACGCACGACGGCAATGATCGACAACGACGACGACGACGACGACGACGACGACGACGACGACGACGACGACGACCGCGACGACGACCGACGAAAGCAACGACCAACGACGCCCAACGACGGCTCCTGAAAACCACTGCATGCCTCTGGAGGCCTTCGGAGGTCCCCGAAGCCCCACGGGAGCCTGGAGGCACACAAAATACGCCGATCCCCGCTTGCTGGGGGTAAAAAGGCGTGTGAGATAATTGGCTGTCCCCCTCCCCCTCCTCCTCCTCCTCCTCCTCCTCCTCCTCCTCCTCCTCCTCTACTCCTCCTCCTCCTCCACCCCTCCGTCCTCTCTTCCCCTCTCCTCTTCTTCCTCCTCCTCCTCCTCCTCCTCCTCCTCCTCCTCCTCTCCACCTCCTCCTCCTCCTCGCTCCTCCTCCCCCTCCTCCTCCTCCTCCTCCTCCTCCTCCTCCTCCTCCGCC